TTATTTATTTATTCGATGGAGGCGGAGTGGGAGCAGGGGAGACGACAGTCATAGAGCGGCACTACACTCTGCGCCTGGGTTACCTCGGTTCGAGTCCCGGCCGCCGCGTGGTGAAGTATGATCAAACAACCCACGTGACCGACACGGCGTGCAAGAGGCCTTTGCCCATCGGTGGATTGACAACTTCTGTCACTTATTAATATATCAGTGAACTAGTGTTGCTGTGCATTGTCATATTTGTGATTTAGATCTGTCCCACCCAGGTCTCCTTTGAGGGAGGAGTGTGGTCTCTGTGGGTTCTCACCCGGTTCTAAGGTTATAAGTAAAGGACTTTGACTATTTAATGGCAATCCGTGAGATCCACCCTCCTGCCCGCAGCCCTTTGCAAGACAACAATCGTGAACACAACGCCCTCTGTGCACCCACGGCAGACTCGCTGAGTTATTCTCAAGACTCCATCACAGGGGTGGGTCCAGTCTTAGGACATTTGTCAGATTCCTTCTAGAATCGCGAACATACCGAGTGTCCCAGGATGCCCTGGGACTCGCCGATGCTGCCACGGTTGTTGCCCCTGGGGCTCGTTGTGGTTGTGATTGTTGTTGTGGTTGTGGTTGGTGGTGGTGATGGACCCCGGTCGCCTAGTCCCGCGCTGTGCCGCGATGGTGCCCTCTTTCTCCTCTTTCCTCTCTCGCGTCTCTCCTCTCTCGCGTCTCTCCCGTGCTTTCGATGCCATTTCTACCTTCATTTTATTACCAATTTGTTGAAAAAAGTAGTGAGATTCCATTGCATTTCAACGATATGTAGCATTGTAGTCGCTCTTCCCTGTGTGTGTCGCGGCTCCGCGCGCAGATTCGCACCTGCGCCCAGTGTCACTGCGCCACGAATTCCAAAATCCGCGATGCGACTGGCAGCGTCAAGGGACACTTGGCAAGGGGATGCAGTCGCCGATCTAAACACGGGCGGTGGTGTCTGTGCCGCGCTTGGCCGCTGTATCCCAGCACTGTGGAGGCAGCCGCAAGGGTTGGTGGATCACCGCACCGATGTCGTGAAACTCCCTTCCCGTAGGCGTCGAGGAGGTGATGCCGCATTCTGGCTTGCTCTGAAGAAGGAAGTGGAGCAATCGCCATCTGTTTCTATCCGTACAAGGATGGAGTGGTGTTGCTTCCTCGCACAAGGCGTGGGTATTCTATGGGTGCTCCGGGTTCCTCCCCACGTGAACAATAATAACAACAACAATCACGTTCATCGTTAATTGGCTGATAACAGCTTAAGTAAAACTTCAATGTAGCCACGGGACCCTCCTTAAAATGAGTCAATACGACTCCGTATGGCCCTCATGGATAAGAAAATGAATATATTCATAACAATCTAAAGACGGGCATCTATCGAAACCAGACAAAATATATCTCAATAAACACCCCTTGGTTAAATACGCACGGCGCGTATAACCTCCTGTGAGCAAACAGTGGGATTCAAATATAAATAAAATGCGTCGCACTGAGCCCAGTCGAATCATCTCAAATATATGCACAGTGGCCTAATGCACTCACAGCTAATGATTGCCTTAATCATTAACTCTGTCCGCCCCCCTCCCCCAGAGGGGGCTGCTGGACGAGGGGGAGAAGAAAGGCAGCGTGAGCCGAGGGATTTAGGAGGGTCAGGAGGATTTAACCCCCTAAGTCCGATGTCCCCTTCGCTTGCGTCTTGTTCCCTGAGATCTTAGCCGGTCTCATCTGAGGTCCGCTCCCCAGACAGGCTCCCCCAACCCCCAGACCCCGTTCATTATTAACCAAGGCACTGTAATTGTGCTTCCTCCACGGGCCGCTCTCTTTACACGAGCGCAGACGCCTGCGTCGATGGTGTCGCCGCCTCTTGCGCAATCGCGCGGCTGCGCGCGAGTCTGTTCCGAACAGCCACGAGAAGGTGTTACGAGCGCGAGAATGTTCCTCTCCGAACAAGGGCGGCTGTTCCGAACACGCTCGACTCGCGACGATTGGAATCGAATTGAAAACGCAGCTCTGTTGTCGCCGTTACGAGGAGGAGACACGTTCTGGACGCGCCGATGCGTCGAGCAACACGCGGGGTTTGTTCCGAATGTGCGTGTGGGAGTGGAGTTGTTCCGTGCAGCTATGCGGTTGAATCAACATGAAGTTGTTCCGCCAAAGTCACGAGTTCCGGACCAACGTGTTCCGCTCCGCAAGATCAGAAACAGAGGCCGTAACATCCCGTGGTGGAGTGTTTGTGATTGTATCGACGCGGGCAAGGGGGTGGTTGTGTGACCAAACTTCACACCACGCTGCTCAGTGTGAGTTGGTAAAGTTGGGGCAAAGCTGCCACCACGATCGCTTCCGATGTACTCGTCACCGACGTCAGCCGGAATCGGACTCAGGTCGCCGGAATCAGAGCGCAGCGCACAGACCACTGCGTTAGCGCGCTGCTCTGCACGTGCGCGTGTGTGTGTGTATGTGTGCGCGTGTGTTTGCGTGTGTGCGTGTGTGTGTGCGCGTGTGTGTGCGCGTCACACGTGGAGTGCAATGGTTAACGCGCTGCGCTGCGAACACGCCAACACCAGTGACAAGTATCTGAACTGGTCCTGGGCCTCCCCTAGGTCGACTCAGCCTCAAACGAGTACCTGGTGCTGTGTGTAAACATCGCCACCAGAGGGACACATGGCGTGCCCTGGTGCTGGCCACCCACCCCCTCGTGTGCCATGCCGGCCTTCATAGGTGCTCACTAACAGTTCGTTCCCCAGCAGGATAAATGGGGGGGGGGGGGGGTCTTTGTCTTTGTGTGTATCATGTTGGGAGAATGAGAGACGCGGGTAAACAGGCTGCGCGTGGTTGGTTAAAGTGTGGGTATTCTCACCTCTTTCACAACGACTGATACGCGTGAAAGAGTAAGCCAAAGATCCCCTCCTAGAGTGTAAATTCATGGCGCCTCACGTTAATACTTTATTTGGATGGAGGCCCTTCCGCTAACAGTGGCACAAGGGAACAATGCCAGGGCTGCACCTTGCACCCATTAGCGTAGAGAAAGCAAGGTGACCTTGAGAAGGCAAGGTGACCTTGAGAAGGCAAGGTGACCTTGAGAAGGCAAGGTGACCTTGAGAAGGCAAGGTGACCTTGAGAAGGCAAGGTGACCTTGAAGAATGACCTCTCGGCGATCCGTCTCGTTTTCGCTTCACCCCCCTCTCCCTTTCTCCACCGTCAACTGCGATTGTGCTTCAGTTTACATTCCTGGCACCTCACGTTGACCGACCCCCGTCATAGTAACGTAACAATGGCGCGCTGGCTCAAAACAGCCAATGGAGAACCTCCCCCTGGACTTGACTCACAGCGAGGGATGGAGACCAACGGCCCAGCGAGCCGCAGCGCGACCCGCGACTTGGTGGCCCTAGCGGCCCCCGGAGGCCCCCGCGGCCCCCGTGGCCCCCACGGCCTCGCATCGTCCGGCACGATGGACGCGCTAGTTAGGGCACTGGAGGGGAATTCATTGAGACTCGGCAACAACAACAACCACCACCACCACCACTGCCCTCCAGTGTCTCTCATTGCAGCGCTGCGCTCAGCCACTTCTTCTTCTGTCACTCCCGTGCCGTGACGGCCCCCCCCAAGGGGTGTTAGCTGACGCGTGGTCCCCGCCAGGGGTGATCCACATTCCTCTGCCCCCCCCCGACCCGCCACCGCTCCCCCCACTAAGCGGAGAGTCCCCGGCCCTGCTGATAGAGGCGCTCGCGCAGGGTGCCCGAGGGTCACGCTTTGCCGCGATATCAGCCCATGGGTGGAGGTGTCTGCCTGAAGCACCAGTGACGGGCTGCCCTCTACCCCCCCCCCCCGTCACCCCCCCCCTGTCACCCCTCTCATTCCTCCCTCCCTCTGCGACCCCCAGCAACGCCGCGTGTCACCTGACAAGTGCCTGCAGGAGCCCCACTACAATAATTACACCGACATCTTTCTCAATCCACTGCTGGATGAAACACTCCCCCCCCCACACACACACACACGTTGTTTGAACATATCATACACTCATTGCGGGGGGGGGGCGTTTGACCATACTTCACCACACCAGTGAGTGCGGGTTTGTGAAAGGGCGGCAGAATCGCCACTGCTGTGAACCGCGTCCCCAACCTTTTTGGCACCAGGGACCGGACCGAGGGCGGGAGGGGGGGGTTCATCATTGGGTCTTTCCCCCTTTTCAATGAAGCTCTCCAGCGACGTTTGTTTTTGACTCCTTGTGGCTACTAGGGGGTTAGAGCTTGTGGGCTTACTCCTTGTGGCTACTAGGGGTCAGCTTGTGGGCTTACTCCTTGTGGCTACTAGGGGTCAGCTTGTGGGCTTACTCCTTGTGGCTACTAGGGGGTTAGAGCTTGTGGGCTTACTCCTTGTGGCTACTAGGGGTCAGCTTGTGGGCTTACTCCTTGTGGCTACTAGGGGTCAGCTTGTGGGCTTACTCCTTGTGGCTACTAGGGGTCAGCTTGTGGGCTTACTCCTTGTGGCTACTAGGGGTCAGCTTGTGGGCTTACTCCTTGTGGCTACTAGGGGTTAGCTTGTGGGCTTACTCCTTGTGGCTACTAGGGGGTTAGCTTGTGGGCTTACTCATTGTGGCTACTAGGGGTTAGAGCTTGTGGGGCTTACCAACACTGTGACTGAGACGAGTGCGTAGTGCGGGAAAGAGGCGCGGACGGAAGTGGTAAATAATAAAATAATGGGGGCGGACCACGCGCGGACTCACCGCTCTCACCTCCTGCTGCTGTGCGGCCCGGGGGTTGGGGACCCCGGCCTTAACCCACACAACCCCATCACAGCGTGCGTGCTTCTCCAGGAAGCCTCACCGACCCTGTGGCTTGCGCAGTCGGCTCCTGTTGTCAGGGAGCCCTGACTATGGAGGAGGATGGGGGGGGGTCTTGAGCCCCCGTGGTATGGGAGGGGGGGGGCGACCCACCACCCCGGCGTCCCGCACCCCTTCTCTGACCCCGTGCCCATTGCGCTACCGCCCCGCAGGTACAACAGCATGGTGACAGAGAAGCGCGCCAATGGCGTCATCGCGCTGTGCTGGGTGCTGTCGATCGTCATCGGACTCTTCCCGCTGCTGGGCTGGAACAACCTGAGCGAGCTCAAGAAGAAATGCAGCGCCGCCGTCGTCAGCAACATCAGCAGCAGCAGCAGCAACGGCAGCAGCAGCGGCGGCGGCGGCAGCGGCGGCGGTGGCAACGGCAGCGGTGGTGTCGCCGGCGATGCGAGCTGCGCGGACGTCCGCTGCGACGCGGCGTCGGAGGCGGCGTGCGCGCCGCACGCGCTGCTGTGCCGCTGCAACGTGGTGGGCTGCCTCTTCGAGAACGTGGTGGACATGGGCTACATGGTCTACTTCAACTTCTTCGGCTGCGTGCTGGCGCCGCTCGTCGTCATGCTGTGCATCTACGCCAACATCTTCATGGTGGCGCGGCGGCAGCTGCGGCGCATCGAGCAGAAGAGCGGCGGCTCGGAGTCGTCGCGGAGCTACTGGCAGAAGGAGGTTCACGCGGCCAAGTCACTCTCCATCATCGTGGGGCTGTTCGCGATCTCGTGGCTGCCCCTCCACGCGCTCAACACCCTCGGGCTGCTGTCACGGGTCAGCAAGCCGCCGCTGTGGCTCATGTACAGCGCCATCGTGCTCTCGCACTTCAACTCGGCCGTGAACCCGTTCATCTACGCGTACCGCCTGCGCGAGTTCCGACTCACGTTCCGCAGGATACTGCGACGCAAGGAGAACTGCGCGCGACGCGGGAGCGGCTCGGCCATCACGCGCACCGCGAGCACGCTGAGCGCGGCGAGCAGCGTGAACCGAAACGGACACCACCACCACAACCATCACCACCACCACCATCATCAGCAGCAACATCAGCATCATCAGCACTATCAGCATCATCACCCCCACCATCACGAGCAGCAGCAGCAGCAGCTGGATCATGAGCATCACCAGCAGCAGGTGTCAGGCTGGGCTCCTGCCGAAGGCATGGCAATGCTGCCATCATGACAGGGATGTAGGGGGGGGGGAGGGGGTCCAGGCGGCCCCCCGCTACGCCCCCACGAAGCGCCATGGTCACCAACATGTGCCCGTGCTGCACGCACCAAGCGCGGCGTCACTTTCGGGACGGGCTCAGTTGCTGAGCTGGAGTGAACTTCTGGCTGAGGCTCGTGGTTCTCTCACTTGCGACTGAGTTGTTTCCGGCGCCAGGAGTTACACATCTGCACTGATATTGATGAAGATGATGACGTTGCTAGTTGTAGAGCGGAGGGAAGGCCTGATGAATAGGGCTCTCATATGGGGAAGCACGCGGCCGCACCGATCGGTGGGGTTCGGTCGGTGGCGAGAGAGGCAGCGATATCACGAGAATAAAGTGAATAAACACCAAGACCGGGCACGGATTGTCTGCGGAATGCAAACAGAGGAGTTCCCGCGCTCCGCGTGTAGTCTCCACCACTCAGGGACTAAGTGCTCATCCCCCGCGGAGAGGAGGTCTCTGCGAGGCTCGCTCGGGATAGGAACGGCGCTGTTCCGAACGGTTGAAAACTGTCGTGAACGGAACGAGAAGGCACCGGAGGCGACCCCTCAAAGCGTCCGTCTCACCCGTCGACTAGACGGGGCAGCGAGGGGCTGCACGACTGGTCCATGGTCACTCTGTGCTGCACATGTAGCCTCTCACCTGTGCTCTTCACCTGCACACTCCTCGTTTGTACGCACGTTGAACTTCTTTCGCACCGCACGTAGCCAACCGTGCTCGTCACACTCCTGAGCCGCACAGATGTGGGGGGCTCCTGCACAGGTGTGGAGGGCTCCTGCATAGGTGTGGGGGGCTCCTGCATAGGTGTGGGGGGCTCCTGCACAGGTGTGGGCGGCTCCTGCACAGGTGTGGGGGGCTCCTGCACAGGGGCGGTCCCGGTGCTGCTGCGCTCAAATTCCGGGCTCCCTCCTCCAAATCGCGCCCCCCCCCTCCCCACTTCTGTGCAGCTACCGCCGATGCTTCGGCCACTCCCCCCCTCCCCAACCCAGTGATGAAACGCAGCCGTGAACGTCAGAGCGAAATAGGTCGACTCCCAGTACCGTTAGGTCGGTTCTGTCCGCGCTAGCTGCTGTTGGGTGCCGAGGTGCCGCGAGGGCGGAGGGAGGGTGGCGGGGACAACTTGTAACGAGTCTCAAGCTCTGCGATCGGTTTTCGGGTTTGTACTGCTGTCCGTTGTTCGGCATGATGTCCGACGTTTCGCTCTACCACGTGCTTGGTGGGAACTCCAGTGCAGTTCCCGACGAGCTCCCCCACCCAGCGCGTGGAGCGAAACGTCGGACGCGTCGAAGAGCTCCTCTGCGGCGCAATCGCGAGAACCTTGGCGTGGTTCGCGGCGTCCGCGAGCGCGGTCGCGATCTCGAGCGTGGAGTTGACGCCGTAGAGGCCTCGACCGCGCCGATATTCAAATCCGCCTCGTTGGGGTTTCCCCCCAGCCCAGCCCCCGCCGCCGCCGCACGATTCAGACGGGATTAGTCAGTGCGCTCGTATTTAATATTTCCATTTTCCCCCGACTTGGGTTATCTGCAATCGCATTGGCACCCTGGCTGCCTTCTTACGCACACACGCGCACACGCGCGCACACACGCACGCCTGCATGCACACGAACCCCTGTACGCACACACGCGCGCGCATTCACGCACGCGTGCGCACAGACGCGCACGCCTCCATGCACACGCACCCCTGGACGCACACACACGCGCGTACTGACGCACGCACGCGCACGCATACAAGATAAAGGCAAACATCCCCCGTATAGCTTTTAACAGACTGTAGGGGCAAGCGCTGTTAGCTTAGCAGCACTTATGACGACCGGCACGGCACGGCACACGAGGGAGGTGACCAGCACCACGCATGGGGGGGGCGCCTTTGTCTCCACCAGGTACTCATTTGAGGCTGAGTCGACCTAGGGGAGGTCCGAAACTGTTTCAGATTATCGTCACTGGTGTTGGCAGTGAGCAGGAATAGAGCTCGGGTCGCCGGGTTCGTAGTGCGGTGCGCTAACCACTGCGCCACCGCTCCTTATACACGCGCCGACATTCGTCATTTAGTGACGGTGACATCACCACGGGACAGACCCAGGTGCCATGAGTTGACTGATTGAGATGACTGAGAGATGGACAACCTATGCTCCCCACTGTGTCAACTAGCTGCGTTTTAGCCGTCCGGCGCTCCGCTCGTTGTTGTGAGTGTCACTCCGCCGTTGTTGTGGGAGGGCGATTGTCTCCAACTACCCATTAGTGTCCTTCACGAACCTCGTCCGCAAAGGCCTATCTTGAGACCGCTGGTTAGTCATTGGCAAGTCCATAATATACACACTGGTACTTACATACACACAAGTGCACACAGTGAACACTGACATACACGCCTACGCACTGCCAATAATATAAATACTGTACTCAAACCGGCACCGATCAACCAACAGACGCACGCTCTACGCATGCGAACGCACAGACACACACACGCACACACACAGACACACACACGCACACACACACACGTAACTCTGATCAAATGTAAGGGAGTCAAGCGAGGGGCGTCGGATATGGGGGGCGCTGTAGGGGGGAAGGGGTGGAAGTCACTGGGTCACGTTTTACGCATTTTCCGGAGCTCCTTACGAGAGCAGAAAAAAACGCGAGCTCAGCATTCAGCAGTGGCGATGCGGGTAACACGTGCGTGTGTATGTGCACGTGTGCACATCCGTGTGTGTGTACGTGCGCGTGGTGGAGAGCGGCGGCGCAGTGGTTCGTGCACTGAGCTACGAATCCGGTGACCCGAGAATGATTCCCGCTCACGAACAATAACAGTGGCGAATATCTGAACCCGGTCCTGGGCATTCCCTTGGTCGACTCAGCATTAACCTGGTGCGACGTTTAAAACGTCGACGCTGGAGAGACAAAGGCGGCCGGGCGTGGTGCTAGGCACACCACCCCACTTGTGTGCCGTGCCGACTTTTATAGGTGCTCGCTAACAGCACTTGCCCCAACAGTCTGTTAAGGCTTTACGGGGGACATTTGTCTTCATTGTGCACGTGCATGCGTGCGCGCGCACGTGCGAATAAGCGATGGTCAATTTGGGTCTCGCGCTGCGCCTACGATCCCGGTGGCCTAAGTTCAATTCCCAGCTGGGCACATCACAGTTGACGCGCGTGACGCCTACCATATCTCCTAGATCGACTCAGCCTTAAATTAGTAGCACCAGGTGCCATGTGTGTGTGTGAACGTCAGCACTCGGGAGACAAAGGCGGCCGGGCGTAGTCCTGGCCGCGCCAACGACTCGTCCGCCGATGCGGCCTTAATAGGTGCTCGCTAACAGCGCTTGCCCCAGCAGTCTGCGAGGCTATTCGGGGGGACCTCTATGAGTGTAGATACACGTGCGCCTGTACCACCAGCCAGTGCACTGCACGGCAGGGCTTTTGTGGGTGACTCCACGTGACTGCGTGAGGCCCAGACCGCGACCCACATCTGGATCGGCGATGGGGGGAGGGTCACAGGGGCGGTACACTCGCTCACCAAACTACAGCCTTAACGCTACCACTAACCTACGAACCACCCAGCAAACAGTACCAAGCCGCCTACCCCCACCCGGGGGATCCCTTCCCACCCGTGGTTGTCAGCTCACGGTGTCGCGACGCCTCCTCTAAGCGCGCGGTCCCCGTTCAGGGCCCAGCAGCACCGCCCGGGATCCGCGCTCCGGGGTCCACGCCCCTGGATCACGGGCTCCAGGACTTCCGTACCTCAACCCGCCGCGGCCTCGAGCCGGGGATCCTCGTCAATGTGTTTTTATTTCATCACTGTCGTTATTAATGTGGGGTTTAAAAATATATTAATGTAATATATAATTTATATAACATGGGTTCTACAGTCAGCGTGGGTGTTTCATCATTCCGGGCTTGGCGGTTACATCCATGCACTGCCCCCCCCCCACGGATGAGAAAAGTTATCACACTCCCCGCCCTGCACCCACCCTTGTACCCCCATCCACTCCGTCGCGCGTTACCTGAGAAGCTCGCTCGTGAAGAGCCCTGCTTACTCTGCACCCATTGGCCTGCGAGAATCGACTAAGAGACAATGAGCGAGGAGTCTCGTGCTGCGTTCCCACGGAGAATTGAAGTCAAACTCGAGCCGTGCCAGACTGCTCCTGGAATGGTGGCCTCTGATTTTCCATACCCCTCCCCCCGCCCCCGCCCCCTCCCTTCCTTTCTCTCCGGAGGGATGCGATAGTCAAGAAACAGAACAATCCTCACGCCTGCTTGGGCTCACGACAGGCAGCCCGAGTTCCACGTGGAGCTACGGCCGCGCGGCATGCAACTCGCGTGTCGTGGCTGCACGGGCCAGGTAAAGCGTGCCGACACGGCTCGGATACGGCTCGCTCGGAACGGCCCGGCTCGGGTGGCAGTGTCTGTGGGAACGCAGTAGCAGCAGCAGAACGTGCGGGCAGCATCGTCACCGTTGCGTGAGTGTCACTTGTCGCGGTTCAGCCTCTGTAAGCGTCAATCATCGCGTGCCGCCTCGCAATCCACCGCCTTCACAAACGGCGGCCGCGTGCCTCCAGTCCGGGTTTTTGTTTATTTGCCTCGCGCAGCGCCGCCTCCCACGACGGCCACTGCCGTGGCGAGTGGGGCCGGCGGAGGGCTGAGCAAAATTCCGGTGCGGATCGATGCGCCACCCGGACCCGGAGCCCACCGAACCCGGGTCTTGTGAATGTCATTGTGGGGGTGGAGGGGTAGGGATGTGGGTAATGGGGGGGAAAAGTGTAAATAATGGGGGGGGGGGGTGGGTAATGGGGGGTGTAGGTAGGGTGGGGGACACAATTTTTTTTAAATTTGTCAATGAACGGCGCACGTGGTTTGATTCCTAACACCAGACGGCTGTGTCAAGTGCGGTTCCATGCCGTGACTGTTCGCTTCTTCACGCGTTCACAAACAAAGTCACAGCTGAAGTTATTTATTTATTTTTCCGATCGAGGCGTGAGTAGAGCCACGTGTGGGCAGTCACTCCCCAATTGGTCACCTGTGTGCTACCTGTCCAGTCAGCCTCTCCTCCTCCTCCTCCTCGCTCACCTGTTACCTGTCCCCGGGCTGTGTGGTGCGACATGTGACGAGTGTGGCATGTGATGAGTGCGACATGTGACGAGGAGTGCGACATGTGACGAGGAGTGCGACATGTGACGAGTGTGACATGTGATAAGTACGACGAGATGTACCGTCCCGACCCTCAGGGCGAACTCGCTTCCAATAAAACGTGTCCACTCTCCTGCCCCGTGTCCGCGTCTCCGTCGAGGTCTCCGCGGGGGTCTCCCTCTGCGCGTGCAGATGGATGGAGATGGTCTGCAAGTCATTCGCAGACCCCTTTGTCAATCCACTGCTGGATGAAACACCTCCCACGCACGCCGTGCCCGTCGTGCGGGGTGTTGACCTACTTCGCCGCTATGGTCAGTGCGGGTTGAAGGTTGGGAAGGGGGGTCTCAAGACCGATTCCGATATCACTGGCCACGAATAAACCGACCTAAGGTCGCCGCATGCGTAGGCGCAGAGCGATAGCACCACGGCGCCACCACTCCCGCGACACGCGCGTGCCGTTATCTCACGCGCATACCTGTGCGCGCCTGCGCCGTGACGTCACGTACACACCTGTCCCCCCCCCACTCACTTGTGACGTCACGTACACACCTGGCCCACCCTCCCACCACTCACCTGCACAGTGACGTCACGTACACACCTGTGCCCCCCCTACTCACTTGTGACGTCACATACACACCTGGCCCACCCTCCCACCACTTACCTGTGCCGTGACGTCACGTACACACCTTTTCCCCCCTCCTCCCACTCACTTGTGACGTCACGTACACACCTGGTCCACCCACCACTCACCTGCGCCGTGACGTCACGTACACACCTGTGCCCCCCCCCCCCACTCACTTGTGATGTCACGTACACCTGGCCCACCCTCCCACCACTCACCTGTGCCGTGACGTCACGTACACACCTGTGCCCCCCCCTACTCACTTGTGACGTCAAGTACACACCTGGCCCACCCTCCCACCACTCACCTGTGCCGTGACGTCACGCACAGCCCTGCCGGGAGTCGGATACCTTGGGTAATGGGCGCTCAGCTGTGGAACGGAAATGGGGGGCGGTGTTATTGTTTATTGTTTTATATTTTTATAATTTTATTGTTTCCCTCCTACGTGACTTTTCCGAAAGAACCAAGAATATGGGGGGCGGGGGGGGGGGTGTTAACGGTAGCGGCAATCAGCCCGCCACTGGCGTATGAGGGGTTGCGAAATGAACGCGAAACTTGAGGGAGGCTCAACTCCAGGGCTGTGAGCCGCCCATGGAGGCTGGCAGCGCTGAGCCGTCCCCACGGTGGCCGAGGGGCGCGAGGAGCAGAGGGAGACCGTTGCGGGGGTCGATTTGGGATGGCGAGAAGAGTGAGGCGAGAGCGTTGTGTGGGACTCGAGTGCCTGGACGACCATCCATGGTGAGAACGCGAGTGGGTGAACACGACACACGTGCGAGGTGAACACACAGTGGAAGGTGAACACACAGTGGAAGGTGAGCACACGTGGAAGGTGAGCACACGTGGAAGGTGAGCACACGTGGAAGGT